TGGACCTAATTTCATTGAGATCATTGACACGAGACGGATGCTTGAATCGCTGTAATATCATCCACTCTACATTTTACTTTGCTGGCTAAGTGGGTGGGTTATTTCTTCCTTAGTTTTAAGGTCTTCTTCCCTCTTGTAATTTTTCCAATTTCTTGGGTTGAGTCTTCTTTCAAGGAAATATATAAAGCGACTGTTGGACGCAGAGTGGGTTGACTGTGGGGTTAAGTGCTAACGTGTACTGTGATACCTTCATAATCAGCAATGGAAAGGCAATCAGGAATTTTTGAGAAACAAACAAACAAACAAACAAAAAACTACTAACAAAAAGCCTTATGCAAAAATAAAACAAACAAAACCAGAAAAAAAAATGCCAAAAAAAACCCCTTTGTCTCCATAAACTCACATCCTGTTAAGCAGGTAACAGGATATTAAAGTAATTTGCATTTAGTTAGCTTTCATCCCTGGGACCCTGAACAAGGAAAGACATATGAATTCTTCAGAGATACTTGAAAGTTCAGGTCAAAGTTCCCTGTAGCTTTTTATTACTTCCTATATTACAATAGGAACCTTGATTTCCTTCTCTAGGATACAGAGTCTTATGTCTCTTAACATCTATGACAACTGTACCCTGAAGTTCACTGGAAGGGCTGTCAGTCCCTTAGAGTCATCCCCCAGTCATGTTGCTAGCATGAGGTCTGATTCTCCAAAATAAGAGACAGCTACATATAGAATTCAAGTTCAAGTACTGTCCTAGACAGCGGACCCAAATCGCATTTTGGGTAATGTTAAGAATCACCTGGTAAAACTCTGGCCTATTCTGTATCACGCCATGGATGCTACGGTTTCCCAGTATGTTCCTCAGATGCACACAGCCAAGTTACATGGAAAAATTCTGCAGCAATTCAGATCTATTCTCCCTACAGGAAAAACAGCCTCAATCTGTCCATCTGAAAACCTGGGAACCGCTGGCACAGGTTTGTAATGCTCTAGAATGCTGACATGTTACACCACATTACTTTTTAAACTTCATATGTAAGAAATGTAGAGACATGATGCATCTCCTTTAAAAGTCTGTTTTTCCCCTTCAGTAAAAATAAATTTGTGAGTTAAAAATGTTTCCTCTGTTTGGTAATATTTTATTCTGAAACTTGTCTCATAACCCTAGAATACAGAACACAAATGTGAAAAACAAAAACAAAAAAGCCTTCTAGAAATCACCACAGGAGGAGAGGAGAAAGTCAGAAAAGTGTACAAAGCACTCAAAGCTGGATGTGTGGAGGATGCCAGGAGAGGGGGGAGGGTTTCATGAGATTCTAGGCAAGCCCTTTGATGACGTCACCCCACATACATAATGTTTCAGCAGTCAGCACAGGCCTCCTGCTTTCCTATTGGTGAACACCGTGTCAGCCGACATCAGAAGATAATCATCATTGGCCAGGCAATTACAACCGGAGCAACTAGCATCCACTGTCTTAGCACAAACCTGGCAGGCGGCTGAAGGCGAGAAGGCACAGCCTACTTTCCTTCTCAATGAATTGTATGTCTCCTTTCCAGCTTTTCCCAAGGCTGGGTGACTTTGCTCCCTCGCTAGCAGCGTTTACCGATAAGAGTCAAATGTTAGTGGACACAAGTAATGGCCAGCCAGGTCATAGAAGAAGCAAATGTCTACATGGATGCTGTTAAGTCTCAAGGGCCTTCCAGTCTAAAACTGGAGCTCAAAAAATGTTACTTGGAGCTAAAAGACAGGCATTTTTCTCTACCTCATGTTAGAAACTGCACCAGATAACATTACCCGGGTTATTTTTAACCGGGACACAGTTTCAAGAAAAATCACACACAGGGTGATTTTCCAAGGGAATACATACTTTGTACTTTGCACTGAAATTGTCATTGCAGCCTACTCTATTATAAAACTATTCGCTACAAAAATAAAGCCTACAATATTTCATATCTAGGCCAGTGAGTATCAGGTTAAACAATGAAAGCAGCAATAAACTTCAGGAGTTTGTCTCAGCCTCGCCAGCTGAGTTTACACATAGACTACTCGGAGACCTGGGGCCCCGTGAACGGATGCTGAGGTAACTAAGGTAAGAAAGCATTATAGGATTGGTTTTACCAACTCATTTTGAGTCCTCTCAAATGAGGCTAGTTACTATATGCAGACTAGTGTAATGCAAGGCACATGCCTGGCTCCTCCCAGCCCCCACCCCGACCCCAGAAGTGGTCAGATGCCCTGGTAACTCAGCTCACTAGAGATCTGTTACAATTAGCAGCTTTGTTTAGTCTAGGACTATGGGATTTTAAAGAACAGTTACAAATAAGTTCTCAAACAACAGGGCACGGGCTTATCTACATGCTTTTATTCTAGAAGCCATTTAAATCATTCTAAGTGACTAGGTCAGGTGAAGATGAGATTTCGTGGTTTTCAAGCCCCTCAATCTCCCTCTCAAAAGGGTATATATAGGTCTTTATGACGCCATTCCCTTCCAGTGATAACATGAGGAAAGAACCTTCATTTTGTTCAAGACATTTGGGTTGTTGGGGTTTGTCTAGGGAGAGCGGGTGGGAAAGTTCTAAAATCAGGCTGCGAGGGAGCTAGAATCATGAAGTAGGAAGGGATAGGCCTTTCCGCTATAATGAGCAATCCAAAAATATAAAGCCAAAGATCCAAAGACAAGAAGAACATACATTCTACAGTGAGACTAGACTAGCGTTCAAAATGCTAGTCAAACATGCTGAATTCCAGGCATGGATATGAGCAGATAGTGTTGGCGGCAAACCGAGCGTTTTAATCGCTGGACTTTGTAAGCATCTGCCATGTACAAAGCACGCTGCCAAACGCTTTGCAAAATCAAGACGGGGAAAAAAAGACCAGGACCTTGCCCTCATCAGCCCACGATGTGTTAGGAGCCACCGGCACGTGTAAATATCCACCTTTAAAATAAGATTTAAAATAAAATAACGAGAGATAAGAAAACACATTGCCAGGAAAAACAAAAGTACTGTTTGAGAGCTAATAAATAGTGGTCAAAGAGTAACAAGAGAAAAGAAATTAGTGTATTTGGGATATTTTCAGTCCCACGGGGACCAAGGACCTGTCTAGTTCTGACAGTGACTATCACTCAACTGAGTGTCTGGAGAAAGAGGCGGGAAATGGTCCTGGGACAGGCACAAAAAGTAGCCTTAGGGGAAAAAAGGGGGACAACAAACAGTATGCACCAGGGTGGTGCAGCAGCGAAGGGCGGACAGTGAATGCCATGCGCCTGCAGAGGCTGGGAAAGCCTACTCCGGTATGGCAGGCCCAACCGGGATGCAGCAAGCTAGAGACAGAGGAAACGCGAGCAGTGAGCTACTGGAGGAGGAAGGCAGGCTAGAGCCCAGCGAGGGACTGTGACACAAACGGCCTCGGAGAAGATCCAAGCTCCAGGCTGGCAGGCAGAGCTCGGGTCACCGCCCCCCCAAACCCCTTACGGGAGGAAGTGCTCCTCTAAGACCCCTGATCGCCAGCAGGAGGGGGCTGGGCTTCCTGCAGCGCCCGGGCCTCCCTATGGCCGCCCCCTTACGGGGCGATCCAGACTCCTGGCGGATGCAACCGCGCTCCGGACCCAGGCCCGCGCCTCGGTGTCCAGGAGGACGCGGGCGACCACACCAAGCGGGCTTTGGGGCTCTGGGCCTCAGGCAGGCAGCCGCCATGCCGCAGCCCAAACACGGGCGCCCCGGAGCCTTGACTCCGCCCGGCCGCCGCCGTAAACCGCCCAAGGGCCCAACTCGCAAGCTGAAGGCCAAGGGTGGGCGCGCGTCCCGCGGGCGGGAAGGGGCGGGAGCCGCGAGCCCGGGACCGGGCAGAGGAAAGCGAACTCCCGGCCTCCGCCGCCCGCAACCCCACGGTGGCTGCCACCACCCGCCCCAGCCAGGGAGCGCCGGCGTCTCCGGTTTCCCATTGATGAATGGAGGGAGGGAAGGCAGGTCGCGAGCGCCCTCGCACGCGGCAGCGGAACCTCCCCGAGCCCGGAAGCCCCCCGAGGGCCGGCCGCTGCGCAGAGCGGGTGGGGTGGGGGTGGGGAGATCGTGGAGCTCGCACTAAACCGGAGGGAAAGGTCTCCACCACGGCACAGTCTACGGGAAGGAGGGAGTTCCCTTCTTAAATATTGCAAGGTGACACCGGATCACCTCCCACACAGGGATTTTTCAAAAGACCGACGGGAGGAACTCAGTAAACAAGATGTTTTCCCGGACTCGAAGTTCTGGGGAAAGACCTCCAAGAAGACTGCCTGGCAAGACCTTCTAGTACCCAAACTGCCGCTCCGCACTGAGAAGCGCATCCAAAAGGCGTTTCCTTTACACAGAAACTTAATAATGGCGTGGCTCCACTTGCTCGGGTTCATTCATTTTTATTGCAGTTTTCATTGTCCCCACCTCCCCGTGTCTTCATGAAACCGGAAAGTAATCTGAGTGGGGAAGGGGTCCTGGACCCTGGACATCTACGGCTGGAGGCGACAGTCAAGGGAGGGCAGTAAAGTGGAGGAACTACAAGGAGAAAGGAAGGACACGAGGGATGGGGAGAGGGACAGGACCAGAGAGAGCAGGCTGAAGAGGGTTAAAGGAATCGGAGACCGGGTCCTCCCTCCACTGCCTTGCACGCTCCAGTTGCAGGAGGCCAAGCAGAACCCCCAAATTTAAGCGAAAGCAACCAGACAGCACAGGTGGGATAGCTGGATTGTGACATGCCTCTGTCTCCCGTATATCATTCCAGGTACACATATTATAGGTCCTACGTTATATAATCTACACAAAGATGCCCGCGTGGCCGCGGCTCACACAGGGCACCCCCAAACCGCACGCTTCCATGCAGCCTCAGAGTCTCCTGCAGACATGAGATCCTAGAACTCCGGGATCTGCTGGCTACTGCCGGCAGTCCATCGCTCCGCTCACGCTCAGCCCGGGAACACCGACATTAATGCACTCCCGGGAACAGTCTCACGCGAAAAGCATCACCTTACCAGTTTTCCTGCATCCATTGGATGGCTTCGTTCTCGTTGAACTGCTTTTCGAATTCATATTCTTGTAAAGTCAACACTGACATGTTCATTGGGGCTGATCTTCGGAGTCGCTACGTGTTCTCTATACAAAATAAAAAAATCTGTAAAGAGCCTTTTATTTCGAGTGTTCTCCTGTCTGCTTCCCCCTCCCACCCCCCTAGGTACTGCCCCGCCGTCAGTCTCCTGGCCGATCTCTCTCCCAGCCTCTCAGCTACATCCAGGGTTGAGCATTGCCTGCGCCTCCGCTCCCAGCTCCTAGCTCAGGGGCTCTCCTCCCAGCGTGCGCATCCACCGTAGGAGGAAATGAATGCCTTGCGGTCTTAGTGCCCGCACGTTTGTCCATCACGCTTTTTACTCGTCTACAGGGAAATCTCCTCCCCCTCGTGCGATCGGGAAAATTAACCCTTTGCGCGAGAGGGCGCAGAAGAGCAAGACCTCCCCTCGCCCTGGGGGACAATTTTGTTTACAAGAAGGTGGTTGGTGGACTGGGGGAAGGGCGCCAAGAGGGAGGAAGTGGCCTTGAGGTCATCCACAAGCCCATTCGCCACCTCGTGGGCCTCTCTGGCCTTTGAATGAAGTTTCAGCGAGCGAGGCTCAGCCAGGAGGCGCGTGGACCCGAAAGCTTGGCGAGTAAACAATTGGGAAATAGTAAAATCTGCCAGGTCTCTGGCGTGAGAACTCCAGGCAAATGAACGTGAGGGTCACGTAGTATGAGCTCATCTCCTCACCCCCTCGACCCCGCAGTACCCTCTGAGACCACCTCTATGGGGCAGCTTGGGCGTGGATTTACCTTGACCGCAGGGCTAGGTAGCCCGCGGAATCGTAAGATCACGTGCAGACAGGACGCTGAGGATGAGGACGTGGGAAGTCAAGGGTGTCTAGGAGGCAGAAGTGGAAGAGTTAGGAGGGTTTGGCTACCTGGAGAGGATATTAATGAACAAAGGGGGAAAGGAATTTAGCATACAGAATTAGGTGTACTGGTCTAAATACCAAAACTTTATCTGCATGCTTTACTTTAGTTCTGCCTTATTCTTGTGAAATCAGGGAGAACAGAGTAATGTAGGAGAGGGGTGAATGTAATACTGATTCCTCTGAACAACCGGCTCACAGCAATATCGCTTTTTATCTCACCTTTCCCAAATACTCCTCTTATTTTTCTGGAGGATGGTATGTTCAGTTCCTAAAGGAAGAATGAAGAGACAATAAGGTACCTAATAATATAATATTTGGGTCCAACCCCCCCCCCCCCAAAAAAAAAGATACGGACCAACAACTTTTTGGGGTTTGTTTTTTTTTTTTTTTAATGTTTGTGATTTTTCAAGGTGAGTTTTTGTTTGTTTGTTTTTAATGTTTTGGGTTTTTTTTTTTTTTTTGAGTCAAGGTTTCTCTGTGTCTCCCTGGTTGTCCTGGAACTCGCTCTGTAGACCAGGCTGGTCTCAGACTGAGATCTGCCTGCCTCTGCCTCACTCACAAGTTCTGGGACTAAGGCCTGAGCCACCACAGCCCAGCCAAGAACCTATTAGTTTAAAGATGTACATTGGGGCCACATGGAAAATACACTCTATGATGTACATTTACTAATAAAGAGATGTACATTACAACTAAAATAGAGGGCACTTCATTCAGAGTTAGATAATCCCAGCAAGATACTGAGGCAGGAAGATAGGTGCTAGTAAAATTGCTAGAAATTCAAGGTGAGTCTGAATTTCACAGTGACATCCTTGCCTTCCCACACCAGTCGTAAAGCAGGGGAGGGCGGGACCAGGTGTGGGAGGCATGCCCTTAATCTTCATATACTCTGGATGTCAGAAGCATGTGGATCTTTATGAGTTTGAGACCAACCCGGTCTAGTAACAAGATCCAGGTCAGCCAGGGATATAGAATGACACCCTGGGTTTTTATGTCGTTTGATTTTGTTTTGTTTTGTTTTGTTTTGTTTTGTTTTGTTTTGTTTTGAGACAGGGTTCTCTCTGTATCCCTGGCTTTCCTGGAAATTGCTCTGTAGACTGGTGTGGCCTCCAACTCATAGATCTGCTTGCCTCTGCCCCGCTAGTGCTGGAATTAAAGGGGTGTTGCCACCATGGAGGGAAAATGGTTCAGCATGAGAGCCTGAGTTCAGATTCCCAGAACCTACAAAAGGCTAACCAGGGTAGCTTATGCCAGTAAGGCTACCCTCGGGGGAGGCTGAGACAGGAAATTTCTGGTACTCGTTTTCATTTTTGGAGACCAGGTAGCTTTTATATATTACACTGGCCAGAAATTTCTATGCGAGCCAGGTGGTGGTGACGTATGCCTTTAATCCTAGCAATTGGGAGCCAGAGGCAGGTGGATCTCTGTGAGTTTGAGGCCGGCCTAAAATAACAAACCTAAAACAGGAGCTTTGAGATGAGTAAGAGACCTTGTCCCTAAAATGAAGGTGGAGAAGTCTTGAGAATGACACACTCCACTACAGCTCTGGCCTCCACAATGCACCTGCTCACCTGCACAAGGAAGCAAACACACACACATTTCTTCTAATTAATTTATTAGACCTGCATTGTAGCCCATGCCTATAATTCCAACATTTAGAGAGTAGAGGCAGGAGAATCAGGAGTTTATGATCATCTTTGGCTAAGTAACTAACTCCAAGCTATTTTAGGCCACATGAGACCCTATCATCCCACTCTACCTACACACACACACACACACACACACGGGGGGGGGGGGGGGAGAGAAAGAGAGAGAGAATATAAAAGAGTTGAAAGAAATCTGGTAGAATATTACATCAATCAGAGGTCTAGTTGGTGATTAGGACATTAATGTCCCCTGACACACCCAAGGATTCCATGTAAAGATTTTACTTACCTATTTGGGTACGGGTTATCCTCCTAGGGCAATAGGCCAGGTCACCCTGAATGACTTCGAAGAAGACCCAAGACTAAAACACTTGGCAAAATCAGTCTGAAAGGTGGAGGTGGCTGACTTTAGCCCAGTGCCTGGGCCTGAGAGCTGTCTTGCTTGTTGGTAAAGTGATCAGATGACTGATGGGATGAGAAGACCAGAAGAGTGGGGAAGGGAACCACAGCCAGGCTTAGCAGATGTAATCCCAGTCCTGGGAAGGCTGGGGCTAGATCACAGCAAGCCTGAGGTCTTGTCTACTTTGAGTGTTGGGCCAGCAAAGTTTACATAAGATGTAGTGATTTGAATAAGAATACCCCTGTAGGTTTGGCCATTTGAGTACTTGGTCCCTAGTTGGTGGTGCTGTTTGGGGGATTTTAGAAGCCTGGCCTTGTTAGGAAAGTGTGTCCCTGGAGGCCTGCTTTGAAAGTTTAAAAGATTCTGTGCCATTTAACTTCTCTTTGCTCTATGCTTGAATTTGATGACGTGAGCTCTCAGCTTCTGGCTGCTGCCTACGGGTTAGAGTTTCTAGAGTGAAACACAAAGGTTAAAATTAAACAGCATACTGCACAGAACCAAGAATGTCAAGTCAACCCAGAGAAGTGCCCCAACATGCAGCCACCCACCGGTACTGTCTTACAGAGACCAAGTCCAAACGTCCTGTAGTATAAACAAAGGGTGGAGGGTTTGCACAGAGCATTTGTCTGTCTGTCTGTTTGTTTGTTTGTTTGTTTGTTTGTTGAGACATTGATTTCACTGTGTAGCCCTGGCTGGCCTGGAACTCACTCTGTAGACCAGGCCGGCCTCAAACTCACAGCCATCCACCTGCCTCTGTCTCCGGAGTGCTGGGATTAAAGGCATGCATCACAACCGCCTGGCTCACATAGCCAGTGTAAGATATAAAAGGTACCTGGTCTCCAAAAAATGAAATCAAACAATGAGTTTGAATTTGCAAGATTGAGCATGAAATACTGTCGGGTTATTGATTAGGAATATATTACAGAAGATATGACTGGAGAATTAAGAGGCCCTAACTTTGGGACCTAAATAAACTAAGATATTTAGATCTCATCTAACTACAATGCAGGGGTGGGCGTGGCATTTAAGCATGTTAAGATGAGAAATGAGCTTGTATTGTTTTATTGTGAGACATGGTTTCATTCAAACGCATACACTTGCCTTGAAGTTGTGATCCTCATAGCTGAGTAGTGCTGACACAGACCTTTAATCCCAGCACTGGAAGGCAGATCTCTGAGTTCAAGGCCAGCCTGGTCTACAGAGGAAGATCTAGGACAGTCAGGGCTACACAGAAATTTCGTCTTGAGAAAACAAAACAAAAATGAAACCGTGAACTTCCTGACTCAGTTTACAGAGTAGCTAAGGTCACAGGTGTACACCATTGGGCCTACCTTCCGCTGTGTGTTTAAGGAAAATGGAGATAACACAGACCAGGTGTGAGCATCATGGGGCGATCATGCCAACATTCCAGAGAGTAAGATTAGAGGATCATAAATTCAAGGCAAGCCTGGGCTACAATCACAAGCAAATTCTCGTATAGGTTGCAGCCTGGACAACATAGGAAGACCTCGTCAGGAAAGAGAGATGGGGTCAGGGCAACCTACTGTGTGCATTCTCTTTAAAAAAAAAAAAAACTCCCAAATTTGCCAAGTGTGATGGTATATACCTGTAATCTTAGCAATGGGGAGTTGGAGACAGGAGGACCAGAAATTCAAGACAGTCTCAGTTACCTAATAAGCTTGGGGCCAACCTGTGCTACTCAAAACAAACAAAAGTCACAATGACTTGATGTCGCTTTATATATTTTGTGCAGACCAGGGAGCAGACTGATCAGAGTCCTTATGTAACAGTTCACACTGTTTGTTTTGCTTCAATACTTGAATTGTCCTAAGTACTTGTATTTCATTTTTCAAAAAAATTAAAAAAAAATTAGTTGGACAGTAGAGAAAATAATAAGACACTTATCTACCTAAAAAAAAAAAGAATATGAAAACCTTTTTTTTTAAAGACTTTATTTATTTATTTTATATATATGATGAATACACTGTAGCTGTCTTCAGATCCACCAGAAGAGGGCATCAGATCCCATTACAGATAGTTGTGAGCCACCAAGTGGTTGCTGGGAGTTGAACTCAGGACCTCTGGAAGAGCAGTCAGTGCTTTTAACCACTGAGCCATCTCTCCAGCCCATGAAAAACTTTTTTTATGTAACATAATTTTAGGAATAAAACATTTAAAATGTGTGTGTTTGTTTGTTTGTTTGTTTGTTTCAGGACAGGGTTTATGGGTTCAACAGCCCTGACTGTCGTGGAACTCACTATGTAGACCAGAATGGTCTTGATTTCAAAGAGATCCACCTACCTTAGCTTCCCAAGGGCTGGAATTAAAGAAGTATATCACCATTGTCCATCTTAAAATGATTGTTTTCTTTCTGGACTT